CCCCAAAACCCCAAAACCCCAAAACCCCAAAACCCCGTGTTTTTAAATTTTGATTGAATTTGAGTGATTTATTAACAAAATGAGTGGTGCGAAACCTAATATGCTATACTTAGTATTTGCATCTCTGACTGCAGCGTCAGGGTTTGCTATCTGAGGCTATTCCTTTGGGTACTATAATGGTATCACAGGGATCATGCATCAGCAGTATGAACATTACGGTAAGAATCAGAATTTTTATTAAAATAGATAAGCAAAGAATTCATGAAGAAGACCTTTTCAACTCCGTAGCTTCAGGAATATTGCCATTTGGAGCAATATTTGGATCCTTTATGGCTGGCCCTTTGATGAAGAGAGGAAGAAGGTTTGCCTTCATAGTCACAAGTCTGATCATCATTTTCGGGACTGCTCTTACTCTGATATTCAACATGTGGGCATTATTTTTAGGAAGATTCATTATGGGTCTTGCTGTAGGAGTTTACTTTTCAGTTTCTCCATTATATATCTCAGAAATCAGCCCTCCTTCAGTGTCAGGAAGTCTTGGAAGTCTTAATCAGATGTTATTTGTAGCTGCCCTATTTCTTTCCTTTTCTATTATATACATTCTTCCTTTGCCAGATGATCCAGAGGCTAAGACTACTGATCTGTGGAGAGTAGTGTGAGGTATCCCTATTATTTTAGGAGCTCTACAATTTTGTCTTTTCTCCTTTGTTTTCAGATACGACACTCCTATTTTTTATAAGAAGAAAGGAGATATGACAAATTACTCTAAGATCTTGGAAGTTATCATCCCAGGCGCTAAAGAATTCGATGATCCAGAAAAGAATATCGAGTTGTCTGGAACTGCCAGGAAGATCCATCCTGAACAAATTGGACAAAATATTGAACAATCTCAAGAAAAGGATGAGAATATTAGTAAAGACAATGAATATCAGCACAATGCTAGTAAAGATGACCAACCTAAGGACAATACAAGTAAAGATGATCATCCAGAAAAGAATGCCAGCAAGGAAGATCAGCCAGAAGAAGGTGCTAGAGAAGACCATAATTCAGAAGAGAATCACAGCGAAGATCACAAGTCAGAAGATAAAAATAGAGAAGGTAACCATAAAGAGGAAAATCTGGGTAACCACCAACACTCAGAAGAGAATGAGGGCGGAGATGAAAACTCGAAGGAGCTTGAACAAGATCCTTCAAAAGCTATTAATGAATACGAAGTTAACGAAACACAGAACAACCTGAAGGACAAAGAGACTGAGTCAGAGAATAAAGACAGCGTAGAAAATAAGCCTGCTCAGAAGAAGTGGCCTCCCTATTACAAAAAGGCTCTAGTAATTTGCTGTCTTATGAGCTTCTTCCATCAAGGTACTGGGATCAACGCCATTACTTTCTTCTCAACTGAGATCTTCAAGGATGGAGATGAAGGAAACTCTGCTGAAAAGAGAGCAAGGTTAGGAACTCTTCTTCTTGGTGTTGCTGCCTTTACAGGAACTGCTTCGTCAGTGTTTCTGCACAAGATATTCTCAAGAAAATTCTTCTTCATATCAAGTGAGGCTGTTATTATGGGTTGCCTATTTCTAGCAGGAATCTTTTCATTATTTGATTTTGATGCAGGAATTATTGCAGTGACAGTCATAAATGTCTACTGCTTTGATGGTGGAATTGGTCCAACAATGTGGATCTACTCCTCAGATTGCCTAGATAGTGCAGGTACATCCATTGTTGCTTTGGTAAATATGATTTGGGTATGTATATTCGCTACCATTTCAAACCTAATGTTCGAATACTTAACAGCTCCAGGTATGTACTTTGGATTGACAGTAATCCAAGGCATTTGTATTGCCTTCGTGTTGAAGTATGTGAGAGAGACGAAAGGCAAATCTAAAGAAGAATGTGAAAAACTCTACTGAGACTAATAACGTTTAAATATTTTACATTCATTTCAAATTACTCTATGGTCTATGGGGTTTTGGGGTTTTGGGGTTTTGGGGTTTTGGGGTTTTGGGG